GTGTTGATACCCCAGAGATCTGTGCTGATTCACGGAATGGGTCACTTTCCAGGACTTACCATTATGATGTTTGTTTGACTGGTGGATCCTTAAGTAGTGAGTTCCGATTTCTCAGGCCCCTCATTCCCATCTTTTCGGTGGGAGATGTTAATGTCCCAGGGAACCATAGGACTTCTTCTGGCGCCCAAGATACATCTGTGCAGGTTGCAGATGATGGTGCAAAGAAAGAGGTGAGGAAAACCATGTGATTAATCCAACCTCTTCCTTTTTATTCTCCCTCTTTCCTTTTTTGCTCTATTGGTTATTCCTGAACAACTTACTAATAAGCTATTAAAGAAACAGGTGACTTTATTTTAAGATTTAGTAGAGAGTACAGATCAAAATTCCTGTATATTTTCTGCATTTTTTTAAACTGCTCCCCCATCCCCATTTCCAGTTATATCTGTATTACTGGATTTACACCTCATGGACTAAAATTTGATAGGATAAGTAATGATTCAGTCTATTTTGGGAAATAAGGCAGTGTCGTAACATTCTCTGTAAAGCAGGCCATCACTTTAATCCATAACAGTTGTTTGAGAATAGCAAGTTACATGAATGATAGCAAGCCTGACTGGCAGCCAGGCATAATTTTGCAGCTTCTTATGTCAGTCTAGAATATATGTGCAGATAAGTAGTCAACATAAATTTAATCTGAGTCACAGGAATTTTACAATTTACAGGATTACAGATTACAGGATTATAGCAAAGCATTACAAAAATCCTCCTAAAAGGAGCAGTATTGGAAATCTTGCGCTGGAGTTCCTATTACAGCTCCCTACAAAAGCAGTTTCTTTCACATTTTGGTTATTTTTTTTTTATTCCTGTCTTCTAGAATTGCTAGGAAAGGATTGAATTTCACAAAAATAAATACTCTGCAATACTTCATTATATAGAGATTGTCGAAGTAACTTGCCACCTAGAGTTTGAAGATTCTATTGCCAGTTATTAAATTTAGAGAATTTCTATCATGATCAGACTGCATATCAGTTTAAATTATCCTCTTTCTTAATGTTGTTTTAGCTTCTTCATATCACATCGTAAGGGGCATCTGAAGTGTGTATTCAAAAACATGTATCATCTGATCAATGATATTATCATCTTGTTCTCCAATCAATTCATGATTGGGTGAATTCACTTTTGATATTGATACTGGTAGAAAAAAATAACGGCATTAGCAGGGGGGAAATGATGTGGAAGCAATAGCCATTAGGGTAAATAATGGCATTGAACACAACAACTGTAATAGCAGGACTGATTTGAAGCAAGTTTCCTCCATAAAATCCTCAAAGAATAGGAGGATGGAAAACTGAGCTGGGGATGTACAGGTTCAGCTGCGATAGAATATCAGTAGTTTGCTACTGTACAAGAAAGTTGTTAAAACTATCCTTCTGAACAATTACTTGTAATTTGCAAAGTTGAAAATACTGGACAATATATTTACCAAAGACATTTATTCAAAAGTTTTTCAGAGAGAGGGTATGAACACTCCCCCCCCCCCCCGCCCCACAAGCATTCAGGAAACCAATCTGATGCATCAGGCAATGTCAAACCATTTTAATCTCTCCTGTACCCCTACATTGTCTGCTGGTCTAAAACTGATCAGGGGCTGGTCTACTACCTATTCCCAAACAGAATACTAAATTCATCATGTGCTCTTCTCCATGCATGGGGCTAGATGCCAGTTGTAAAAGATCCATGCTAGGCATGGCAGGCATAATAACCTGAATTGAGCCTGATTGGGCAATCCTGGCACAGATACTGAAATTTCAGAGGAAACCTAGAGGAAACTGTCATAACTGTGTCCATCCTCCTCACACTAGTTGAGAGTGTGTTGTATATCAGGGTGGACAATTCATTCATTCATTCATCTTCTATGGCACCCTCTGATACACAACTCTTTGCAATTAACAAGGGTTAAAAGTAGTTAATAGCATCCCTTTACAATTCCTGTTATTCAAATAGCATGGACTTAAAGTTGGCAGACTCTCAGTTGGAGCATCTGTCAAGTGGAATTCCTATAGGTCATTGGTTTCCAGTCTGTGGGGGACCACTGGTCATTGTGGGGAGAAAGCAACCAAAATAAAAAATATTTTTTTTAAAAAAAAATGGCCTGAATCTCACAGAATTTGTCTCCAGGTATTGTAATGTCCACTATCTAGACTTTTTTGTCTTTCTTATCAACTGTTGTTAAGCCTGGGGTGATTGTCTGTTTGATTTCTAAAGTCCCAGAGCACTTCAGCTTCTTCACTTTCTATTACTATGTCTGTTTTGTGGTCCCACCAGTACTTACTTGCAGGCAAATGGTATTTCTTGCAGATATTCCAATGCACCATTGTTGCTACTTTGTCATGTGGTTGTTTGTAGTCAGTCTGTGTGATCTTCTTGCAGGAGCTAAGTAGGTGTTCCACTGTTTCTTCAGCTTCTTTGGTGGCATTTGTTGTCTGTTGCTGTCTTCTCAATTCTGGCTTTATATGCATTTGTTCTTAAGGCTTGGTC